CACGCGCCTGCCCAGAGGACCGACCCGCCCCAGCACAGGGAAGCCCCACACGCGCCTGCCCAGAGGACCGACCCGCCCCAGCACAGGGAAGCCCCACACACGCCTGCCCCGGGACCGAACCCTCCGGCACGCGCCGAGAAACTCTGCACGCGCCTCCCCCAGGGCTGGCTCACCCCTCCTGTGCACTGCAGAGAGCCGATGCTCCCTCCCACAGTACACTCAGCAGAACAGCTAGCGCACTTCCAGAATTGCCGGAAGTGGCGCTAAGCTGCGGGACTTCTGTCCATCCCCGGGAAGCCGACACTACCTCCATTTTCACTTGAGGTAGGTAGTGGGGCTTCTCGGGGGTGGGAGCGGACAGGACACCTCGCGATCGACCTGTTGGTGACCACAGGTGTACACATTTAAACAATTAACCAATGTACCTGAGCTCATCAGTTGACCTTCATGGTTACACTCCAGCTCCCCACACATACCAGCTCCCAATCCCCGGGAAGCCGACACTACCTCCATTTTCACTTGAGGTAGGTAGTGGGGCTTCTCGGGGGTGGGAGCGGACAGGACACCTCGCGATCGACCTGTTGGTGACCACAGGTGTACACATTTAAACAATTAACCAATGTACCTGAGCTCATCAGTTGACCTTCATGGTTACACTCCAGCTCCCCACACATACCAGCTCCCATGAAACAGAAGTGATGAGAGGGGGGCATGCCGAGGCAGGAACCAGTGCTCATGGGGAGCTCACTTTTAAAGATGTCTTGCCCCTTCCCCCACCCAAGTGTAAACTTGTAACCACTGACATTTTCAGGGGTTATACATTTACAAGAAAAAAAAAAATCACAACGTAACATCCCTAGTTAATAGACTTTTACTCTTCACTATGACAAACACCTATAGTCTGGAAAATTCCATAACCTGAGCTAGCCTATTCCCCAAGGTTGCTGGATTAAAGAGGTTCAAGTGTATGAGAATTAATACCGTAGTAACATCTATGGACTATGGCTCATCATGCTAGACACAGTACAGAAAAAGCTAGAAAGAAACATTGGACCTTTTTGATGGCATATTTTGGATCATCTGGAAGGACCAAAACGATTTTCCCATCCCAGAACTCTGCAACCACACGCTCTTTCTTCCAGCCCTATCAGAGAGAGAATAAAAACAATTATCTGCAAGGAAGAAGAAAAAGGGATTCAGTGAAGATCTCTTTAATAGACCAAGACTCCACAGTTGTAACGTGAACCCATGCAGCTTACAGGCAGGAAATTAAATCACCCATTAGTTCACGTATGTCAGCGAAAGGTGATTGCTGGAACAGAAGTAATTTAATCATGTTACTTGGATACAAAGCCTTTGTATAGTGTAGCTGTAACTCTGTACCTGACGGTATGTACTATTTCAAGAGTTCTTTGGCAAAAAAGCATCAGTCATTGCCTTACCGCATATCTAATTCCCTCAAGAAACCTTTGGTGATGCTGAATGTGTTGAGCTTCATCCTCTGGGCTGGCAGCTGTATAGATCATGCCACATGATTTGCATATGATTGCACCAAAATGTTTCTGTCCAGCATCCTGCCATTACAAATAAATGTCAGAAGCGTCAGAGTTAAGAGGGCAAGATTGTGTATTTATAGAAGACTCAATTGTAGGACACACTTTAGTCAAGGCATACAGTGTGTCCTTCATAAGATAGAAAAACTATGTATACAACAAATTAATCAGTTGGGTGTGGATGATATCTTCCACTAATACTGCTGATTCATGGAGAGGTCTGCGAGCGTCCCCTAAGGAAAACCTGCTCGTCAGTCCTCCGCTCACACCCACACCCTTCTCGTATGTATACAACGAGACCTAAACACAGAGACTGAGGGAAACAGACAGCAAGTGGCAGGGCAGGGATTATTTACTCAATTCCAGGACCATCCCTCCAGAACACACCGCCTCCTTTTCTATGAAGGATTCACTAAGTAGTGAATTGGGAAGCCAATGAGGGTGGGAGGTGAAATGGGCAATTGGGGAATTATATTCCAAGAATGTTCTAAAAACATACATAATAAAGAATAAAAAAAACGTAATCAAAATGCATCTCTTAATGGAAAGCAACATGGGAGGGAGCCCATTGGTGAAGTTCCTCAGAGACCTCTTCCACTTGGTTCCCCCTCTACTCAGGCTCCTCTATATGGCAAATAGGGGTGTAAAATCCTGCTTAGTTAACCAGTTAAATGATAGGTTAACCAAGAGGAATCTCGGGCTCCTGGCCAATGGTTAACCATTAACTAGTAAGAGTAATGCTCACTGGGTAACCAGACACCCGTTCAGATCCAGAATAGCAAAGCTACACTGAGATAAGACTCCAGCATAGGCAGTTGGCCTCTTCCTTTATATTGTTACACATTATAGTGCACCACATTTTTTGGACTGGTTTGGTTACTTTGTAGGAACTAGTCCCTTTACAGCAGAGGTGGGCAATAATTTTTGAAGGGGGGGGCCCACTCCACAAATTTCTGAAGTGGCCCAGGCACCACGAAAGGGGCGGGGCCTTTGGCGGAAGGGGCTGGGCCAGGACATGGGCACGGATGGCTTACATTTACCCTCATGTTTACATTTGACTCCTCTATTATTACCTTCGCCACTGTAAAAGGTTCCCTGGGTGTTCCCCCTCATCTTATGAATTGTCTCCACTACCAAGCACACAACACTGCAGCAATTGATCCACTGCTGGTTGATTTAGTGATTCTAGTAAAGACCCACTAAAATCAACCACCAATCATTCTGGGTATGTCTACACTACAAAGTTAGTTCAAATTAACTTTGATAGGCGCTACACTAGCGATCCGCTAGTTCAAACTTAATTCGAACTAGGTAAACCTCATTCTACGAGGACTAACGCCTAGTTCAAATTAACTAGTTCGAATTAAAGGCTGTGTAGCCCCTTAATTCGAACTAGTGGGAGGCTAGCCCTCCCCAGATTTCCCTGGTGGCCACTCTGGGCACCACCAGGGAAACTCTTCTGTCCCCCTCCCGGCCCCAGAAGCCCCTAAAGGGGCACGGGCGGGCGGGCTACGGTGCCCGTGCCAGGTGCAAGCCTTCCAGCACCCAGCCAGCAGACCCTGCACCTGGCACGGCTCGAGCCCCCCA